CGTGCAATCTCCGCACCGCCGACGGGCACGTTTTACATTAGTCCCCCATCGTATCAGTGGTCCACGTACCTTTTGTCTTTGCACCTCACTCTACGTTAGTCCGTCCTACATCGTTAGTCCACCATCATATACCACGTACCTTCTGTTTCTCCGCTCTACGTCATGAGTTCACCACCGTAATACCACATACCTTTTGTCTCTCCACCAATGCCCAGCGCGTTCCCCACTGCATCTTCTCATGCGCAAACGATCCAGCATCCAACAGAAGTGTCGGCGGCTTCCTGTCCGCAGAGGCGATTCTCAATGCGTGGGTCGGCGAGAATCGTCTCTGCGGACAGGGAGCTCGGCCGACCAGCGATCTCGCAGAGACGATTGTTGAAGCGTGGCCCCGTCTTGAAGCTTGGGTCGGCCGAGTTCCCCGTCCGCAGGGCCGGCCGACCGTCTTGAAGCGTGGGCCGGTGGAGTTTCCTGTCCGGAACCGTCTCTGAGAGACCGCTGGTCGGCCGAGTTCCCGGTCCGCAGAGACGCTTCTCAATGCGCGGGCCGGCCAACCAGCGGTCTCGCAGAGACGATTCTCGAAGCGTGGGTCGGCCGAGTTCCCCGTCCGCAGATCAATGCGCGGGCCGGCCGACCAGCGATCTAGCAGAGACGATTGTTAGAATAATGTCAACTTGTCATTCTTTGTGGATGGCCACCGTCGTATTTCGCGATTCTTTGCAAAGGGTGTTCTTCCTGCAGCAGCCAGCCGTATTTCGTGAAATGTTGCGACTCGTCCGCATGATCAGCACGATGATATCCAAGGGTGCTGGTGGATTGAGGGTGGTCGACGAAATGGCGGCATCTCAGAGTCCGCATGGTTTGGACGGTCCCATCTCGGATATGATGGGCAACTCATGGAGACATATGATAGGGTGCACCTTCTCAGAAGCTTACGAATTTGTCCAGGAGTCATCGATGTCAGACGTGTCAGCGATGGGCGATGACATCAAGATCCAAACCACATCGAAGGGAATGCGATTCAGCATATTGCGTCGTCTGTTGTATGTGATACTGTGAGCTCGCAAGACCGTATCATGATTTTGAAGTATGTGTGGTCGGGATCGAGGTGACTAACGATGCCAGCACGCACCGCCTTCCTTGCTTCGTGGGAGCTTGCCGTCAAGGAGGAAATGTTGATGTGACATAACGGCATACATGACATGCGAATAGACGTTGACATGTAAGGTATATGAATAGGTGGTATACAGCTCTCTGTAGACGGCTGCAGTTTTTGTTCACTTGGGCGGCCAGCTACAAAAATCCTCGGCACCGGAGCGATGCGGCAAAGTTGAGGGCCAGGCATAGCACTCTGGGTGCAATGAAGGAGTGATGATGCTCCTGGAGATCCGGTGCTGAAACGGGGCTGAGGTTGTGGACAGTGAACCGCGATTTGGGGTTGAAGGGTGCAAAGAAGGTAGGCGCAGCAGCGAAGAAGAGAAGCGCAGCAGGCGACGTTGCGGAACGCCACCCGCAGATGGGCCCAAGGGGGTAACGTCGAGGAGGGGTGATTGGGCACGATAGCACCCGGTGCTGTATCCGTGGCTGCAAGCAAAGGTACTGCGCAGCAAGTTGTGAGATGCGACAACTTGGGTGAGGAGCGCTAATGGCCGATGCCAAATCGCCGGTAGCAGATAGTAATGACGGGAGCAAGTAGGGGAACGTCTGCCTTCAAAGTGATGCGGTGAAGACGGCGACCGGAAAGGTTTGGAAAAGGCCAGCGACAGCCTTGGCGATGATGGTGTTGGTGTAGGGGAAGCTGCAATGTGACCATTGCCCCCAAAAGAAAGAGTCGTACGCAGCGCGGCCCGAGATGAAAAAAGCGAAGTGAAGAGATGGACGGGGAGAGGCGAGGAAAGGTCGCCTTTTTATAACCCTGGAGGGAGCTGCGCTTCCATGCCATTGATGGAATTTCCATGGTGGAAAGTAATTACAAATGTAACCGCCGACGTCACATTTCCCCTTGCAATAATCTTCTTCTTCGTGCGGACCTCCTGGCTCCCCTGGCGGGCCAGCGAACGCGTTCAGATTAGGTAACGCGTGTTGGAGGATGCTGCGCACGCATCACATTGCAAAACACCACTGTAATGTCGCAAAGGACTTGGTAATATCTCCATGTTGAAACTATCTTTATCATTGGAATAAACTTTTACATTACTTTCCTACTTCTGAATGATTCCGACTCTTTCGACAACGATGATAGCGAGAGTCATATCGACTTTTCAGTCCCAAGTGACGCTCCTGTCTAGCGCCTGCGCATTTGCTATCCTCCGTCGCCAAAGGTCACCAAAGGACATACATCTTTGAATCTGCCTTGAGCATCAAGGACTCTAATCCCCGAGGCGGTCGTCCCCGTCGTCCCCGTTGGCTTTCGTCGTGTAGTCACGTGCATCAAACGATCTATTAATCACGTGCATGTAATTTAACCATATTTATTTTTATCCACAACTAGCAACAATTTATTGTTTCGCTCGTCGTCGTTTTGGCGGATTGCTCTTCCGGCATTTGGGCGCGCCTCATCCGGTTTCTGGACGACGATTTTGTGGGACGTTTCCGGTCTTTCTCCTCCGTCATCTCATGCTGAAAAGCCAACGATGGACTTGAATGTGGACGTGCTGGATGTGTCGCGGTCACGCGAGTTCTTTGCCTCGCATGCCTCTGTGCAAAAGGAGGGGACAAAGTACATGACGCTTGCAGACTTTTGTCAGGCTGTCACTCCTTCAGCGGAGGCAAAGGAGGTAAGTATCATATGATTCTAAACACTTGTCCAGCGTCTGACTCTTTGTGGCAGGTCCAAAAGGACGGATGCAACGTTCTTTTTCGCGTAGCGGACCGGCAGGGACGGGGAATGCTCACGGTAGATGATTTCATTCACTTTGAGGCTATGCTCAGTCGTCCAGACGCGGAATTCGAAATTGCGTTTCGTCTTTTTGACGAGGACGCGGACGGCATCATTACCCTCGACCAATTCAAGCATATCATTTCATCAAGTCAAACTGCATCAGAAGCCGTACCCTTTGACTTCAACAGCGATTGGTTAACTCTATTTGTCGGAAAGAACGGGAAGAAGGACATTTCCTATGAAGAGTTTGCGCAGCTGGTCAAGGGGTTCCAGGCAGAACGATTAAAGCAGGAATTCAAGTACTTTGATCCAAAGGGCACAGGAACGATCAACCCCGACGCATTCAAAAAGATCATGCTTCATGTCGCAAAACACAAGTTGAATCCATTTGTCGTCGAAAACCTTCCCAGTATCGTTCAGCTTTATCCTGGGGACAACATTTCCTTTGCCAATGTCAGAGCTTGTTACAATGTCATCCGCCAAATGGACATGGTTGAACGCATTGCCCGGAAAGCTGCCACTAGGACCCAAGACCATGCCCTTTCGAAAGCGGATTTCCAAGCCGCTGCCGCTCAGATGATGCGTTTCAACGTTCTCACACCCATGGAAGTCGACATCTTGTTTCACCTGGCGTCGCGGGATTTTGACAGTCAGACCAGCCGACTTCCCATTGGGGCGTTCGAACGGTTATTTGATCCTTCATGGTCAAAAGCCAAAGGTATCAGTTATGATAGTCCTACCCTTACCGCGACCACGGCGGATGTGACAGAGTTGACCAACCAAGTCGTATCCCTGTCGGCGGCAATGGAGGCCCTCAAGGGCATTTACAACTTCACCTTGGGTGCCATTGCCGGAGCAGTGGGTGCAACCGTCGTATATCCAATTGGTGCGTTCTTATACCGGTTTCCTTGTGGCTCTTGTATTTACCTTTTTTCACAGATCTTGTCAAGACGCGGATGCAGAACCAGCGCTCCAAAATAGTTGGTCAGTTGCTGTACAAGAACAGCTGGGATTGTTTCAAAAAGGTCGTTAAAAATGAGGGCGTATTGGGACTCTATTCTGGACTTTTGCCGCAGCTTGTTGGAGGTAACTATAACTGTGTCATTCTTGGTGATGGCATCAGAAACTCACGCTTTTGGCCAGTCGCACCGGAGAAGGCAATCAAACTGACGGTCAATGATTTTGTGAGGTCCCGAATCAAGGATCGCAAGACTGGGTATATACCGGTTTGGGGCGAGATTCTTGCTGGGTGTGCCGCAGGTGGAAGTCAGGTCCTCTTTACGAATCCATTAGAGATTGTCAAAATTCGCCTGCAGGGTATGTGCTTTCACCAATTGTCCTTTGCAAACCACCACATATGTGCTGACCTTTATCTAGTCCAGGGCGAAGCCGCCAAAACAGCTCTTAACTCCGCCCCAAAACACACGGCCATCCACATTGTCCGTCAACTCGGACTTTTAGGACTTTACCGGGGCGTGGGGGCCTGTCTCTTGCGAGATATCCCCTTTTCCGGTATTTATTTCCCTACGTACGCACACCTCAAGAAGAACTTGTTCAATGAAGGCAAGGACGGCAAAAAGTTGAATGCCCTTGAGGTGCGTCGAGTTCACATCGTTACTGGCTTTGGTATAGTTCTGATGTTTGTATGTAGCTGTTGACGGCGGGTGCGATTGCGGGTATGCCAGCCGCTTACCTCGTCACTCCAGCGGACGTTATCAAAACCCGCCTACAAGTTGCAGCACGAAAAGGCGAGACCACTTACACTGGCATCAACGACGCCTTTGTCAAAATCCTCCGGGAGGAAGGTCCACGCGCCTTTTTCAAAGGGGGTTTGGCCCGTGTCTTGCGTTCTTCACCCCAGTTTGGTGTCACACTCGCTTGTTACGAGTTTCTGCATCGGGTTTTACCTGTTGATTTTGGAGAGACTCCTTCCTTTACTCCTATTGCTCAGCCAAATGTGGGGATGGTGGCACCTGATGTTGGACGACGAAATGCGCTGAGGGTGTTGAATGATTTGAGTCCGGACTTGGTGGGGATGGTAAAACGGTAGATAGAGTACTGGATATGACGCGTATTTTTTATTTTTATTACGAGTATAGAGGAACGGATGGAATAGACCGGGGTTTCTACACGCATCTATGTGTGGTTTCGCAAAGTTTGGGAGGGTATTTTTTTCCCGTCTGGATAGCTAGAGCAGGGCTCACTTTCTTCCTAGCAAGATTCTTTGCACCAGATCCAAGAATGGCTGCAACCATTCTATCGGGCTAGCCCATTTCCCACATACAGGAAAGCATATCATAGCTCTTGTCTACTTTTTGGCCTTCTCCACCGGGGCTCCCGTCGCATTTACAAGATTATTCACATACTGTAACAGTAGCGTATTCTCCCCTGCTATCCGGGCATGCTCAATTCTCGCCGTCTCTACTCGATTTAAAGTCGCCATAAGAGATTCCTGGAGGTCCAAGACCTTCCTACAACGGTATCAGTAATTTAGAACTAGCCCAATATCGTCAAAAACATACGTGATGAGATCATTTTTGGAACAAGTGAGAATGTCTCTTTTGCCTTCGGAGAGTGTGCGGGGACGGGAGGGCGAAGTCATGGTCGAGTCCGGAAAAAGTTCAAAAAGTTATGAAAAGGATTCGGAGAAAAAGTGTGATATCCGGGATGACATAAGCGGAACGGAAGGCGCGTTCCAAACATGGAAGCATAAACAAACGGCCAAAGCGGCGAATAACGGCCCATCGGATAAGTAGGAGGTATTTTATAAAGTCTACCATCTGATTCTCATCTCATGCCACATCCTTCATGCATCCCAACATGATCCCATATCGACACACATGGGTGCGACACGCAAGCACACTCCCTTCCTTTCTCTCCATGGGCCCCTTTAATGCCTTTATGCACCGACCGACAAAGGCGATGACGCGAGCTGCATTGGAGGCATGGACAGCCGTGCAGAAAGAACAAGCGGAAAAGGTCCGTAAAAGTCATTCATCATCTTAAAGGAATAAAGAACAAACAACTTGAAGTAGAAACAAAGGAAATCGGACAAGCGAGTCACGAAAGCACGTGTTGGATGACATAATATCTTATCTTGCGCCGCCCGCGTCGTGCCGGACGAGTTTTGTTGCAGGTTGATTAACCTTCTTGGTTGTGTTTTGGAACGAGATTTCAGATTGTACTGGAAAGACTACCCCCCAAAGACCGTTTTCTTTTTCTTGTTGTGCTGCTGGGTGTGGGAACTTTTGTAAAAGAAACTTTGCAATTCGAATAGTACTATACTCTTCTTTTACACGAAACGAAAGCAATGGCAGACCAATTGACGGAAGAGCAAATCGCTGAATTCAAAGAGGCCTTCTCCCTGTTTGACAAGGATGGCGACGGCACCATTACAACCAAGGAACTCGGCACCGTGATGCGCTCGCTTGGCCAAAACCCCACCGAGGCCGAACTTCAAGACATGATTAACGAAGTCGACGCGGATGGAAACGGCACCATCGACTTTCCCGAATTCCTGACCATGATGGCGCGCAAAATGAAGGACACGGATTCTGAAGAAGAGATCAAGGAAGCTTTCAAGGTGTTTGACAAGGACGGCAACGGATTCATTTCGGCAGCAGAGTTGCGACATGTCATGACCAATTTGGGAGAAAAGTTGACCGAGGAGGAAGTGGACGAAATGATTCGTGAGGCGGATGTGGATGGGGATGGACAGATTAATTACGAGGAGTTTGTCAAGATGATGATGAGTAAATAGTAGCGTTGTTGTTGTTGTTCTTCTTGTTGTTGGTACAATATACACAGTTATTTTTTTACGATGTTGCTTGGTTTTTATTTTCATGTTTGTCTTCACCAAAGTCAACCACAATCAAAGCATTCTGTACATCTTCCCCCCGACATCCCACCACAATCTTCTCCTCATCAAATTGCAATGCAACGACTGGTCCCTTTTGTACATCAATCCGATGACCCAACTTGCCTTCTTTCCAATTCCAAACTATGTTCATAGAGGTGTCAAAACACATTTGCACCAGAGCACAGTATCAACAACACAAGGGATGCATACCTAATACGCACTCGTCCCAACCCCCACTGACCAACCACTCTTCAGAAACATCTAACGTCTTGACCCATTTTGTGTGTCCCAAGAACGTGTGGAGGCATGCTCCAGTCTGGAGATCCCATTCTAATGAAAATAAACAAGACGTCAATTTGAGGAGCGCATGAACGAGTGGACCTGCAACGTACGTCGAATACTTTTATCCAGCGATCCGCTCATAACCCAGTTGGCGTGGACAGCGACACATGTGACAGAGTCCGTGTGCCCACGGAAAGTGCGGTGGTGGGCAAGAGTGGTCGGCATCCATGTCTTGTAAAAATCAAGAAAAAGAATGAACATCTTGTAAACCTCTGGATCTCAACCTGGATACTCACCTTCACACACCAGTCTAACCCACCCGTAACAACCCATTCCCCAACCCAAACACAAAAACAATCCCCAACATGCGCAACAATATGGTTGGCATGTACAAACTCGACAATCTCCTTTTCAAATACTTCCACATGTCTCTTTTGTAACTTTTTGGATATCTTTCTCAATCCTTTTTGATGTTCTCTTATGATCGTCTCTGTTTCGACCCTTGTCTGAATCTTCCAGGTCTTTACTTGACCATTAACACCCGCACTCACTACCACCCCACTCACAAACCCAACACCTACTACAGCCCCTTCATGCGCTTTCACAACCGCCAATAGTCCGCCTGTGAAAATGTTCCAGAGCATCATGGTCCCCGTAGCGTCGCCCGTAAGGAGGTGTTGCTGTGTTGTAGCGAGACACATGATAGGATGGGTATGTCCCGATAAAGAGAGATGGGGAACGGATGTCCATGGAAAGTGATGGAGGTGGAGTCGGTGACGACGGGTACCGACAAGGAGTACATCAGCATCATACTTGAAGCTACGTTAAAAAAAATTAAATTCACAAACCACACAGAGAAAAAGAGTATAAAAAACGAAAACAAACCAATTCACACTATCCCCAATTCCAACGACCTCCACAACCTTAACACCATACACACCCCTCTTCCAATTCCCCCTCCGCTTCCAAAATATTCTAAAAACCTCCCACCACTGTAACCCATCCGTCCAGGGTCCTACCCGCACGCCGTGTAAGACGCACAAGCGATGCCAGAGGCTGTCATTACGAGCAATTGAGAGCCACGTTTTGTTCAAAAGGGAAAGAGGCAACAGGGTCGTAGGTGAGAGGTAAGGGAGGATGTGGGCTGTTAGAACGGTTGGCGGGAGGGGACCGAGTGCTGGTGTGGGGGGTTGGGGTTCTTGAATGAGATCTTGAGTTGGCGGTGGTAGAGGGGATGGGGGTGGGATGTGAGGTTTGTGGAAGGGGTTTTTGCTGTTTATCGATTTTGTTAATACTGTAAGCAGAGCACAATAAGAAACCACTACAGAAAAAACACTTACAATTTCCCGCTGGACATGCTTCATCTTTCCTGTTTGTTTCTCTGGCCAACTCGCAGCTATCCCCAACCCAAAGATCTTGTCCCGACGCGTTACGTAATCCAACCTACTCACCACACAAAGCGCCGACTTTAAAACTTGTCTCTCCAATGCTAACATCAACGACAGTCCTCCAACTACCGCTCTATATTCCCCTTCAACTCTTCCTCCCCCCATCTCCACTCCCACTCGACAATGTTTCGTATATCCTCTTGGGCACGCTGCTTGTTGTCCTTGTTCCAGCGATCGTATGTGCAGTAAAGCGTAGAAAGGAGACTCGACAGAGATTTTGGATAGTGAGTGGGTTAGTGTTGATTTGTTTCAAGGTAAGCTTCAGTGCAACATTGTCTATCTGTATACATGGGATTTATTTTTTATGGTATCAGATTCTCCTCCTTGCCCTCCTCCTCACGCTTCTCCACATCCCCCTCGACGAGCTTAATCAAGCCTACGAAGACTCGCTATATACAGGAAGACCCGATACAGAGGCGTCGGAAACCATACACAAAATACAAACGTGTAGCGGGTTGGTCATGGGGTGGATGGGAATTTGTGTCGTGGAGGTGTGCTGTGAATTTTATGAATTGGGAAGATACGATCGAGGAAAATAGTTGCATGGATAATGAGCACCATTAGCGTACTGCCTTACTCTCCGTCCTCCTCTGCAACGACACCCCCAAAAATTTCCTCGTCAGGCACGATTCTTTCAAAGACTGCCTTAGCATCCAGCACAGCACTCTCGAAATCCACATCCACCACATTCGATCCAACAAACGCCAGATGATCCGCTACCCACATCGTAGAGGGAACTTGGACTGTTTGAGAATAAAAGACTGTTATTAGGGGGTCCAAGGATAGAGATGAGAGAATGGCCTTGAAATCTTGGTGGGTGGCTTGTGGGCTCGGGGAATGGAGATGGAGAATGTCTAGCACGGACATTAGATATGAAGCGCATTATGTAAAATTCAGACAAGACTTACAATATTCTTTTGGACATGCGCTCACGTCCCAACTCTGCTGGATTGCGATGATGCCTTGTGTGTTGCTATTTGAGTCAGGTGGAAAGACGGTTACAGTCAGATTGGTATCCTCATGAATTGGTTTATCCAAGATGGCCATGGCACGCAAGACACGAGTACTAGAACAACATGGCACATTAATTCCTGCACTACAGTATTAGCCCAAGTGCACGGATACCTCTTCATGTCGACGTTCATCCCCTGCGGTAAGTTGCCAACATAATTTGATGAAGTCACCAGCCAGGACGAGGTGTACTCTCCCCCATCACTCCCAACCACCTTGAACCGCCGGTCGGGATCCTCAGATATGGAAATTGTTGATATTGGGAAATTCAAGATATAGATCCCTCCATACACTGCGCAAAATCTGAAGAAAAGTAAGATCCCAGTATCGCACTTCCCACAGATGCCACAAAAACGGACCTACAGAAAGCCTGCGAGAGCTCACTCCCGGCTCCATACAGCGCAACCAAAAATGCTGTCTTACCCCATCTTCCTAGGGATTGCAAGTGACGTTGCGTGAGGGCAAGTCCTTGGACCGTAGTGACTGTTTTTTTTGAAACTTTAGATTCAAATTTCACTCGTGATCAATGCAGAGTACATACTGGTCTCTGAGTCAGCCCGGTCCACTGCAAATGCAATTGCATGCAGGATGAACGATATCAAGCGAGGACTCAGCTTCTGATCACGTAGGAAATCAATGAACGGCCGCGTTGCAAAGTCTAAAGATCATGTATATGAGTACAATGTAATCCGAGTACTCGTGGCACGCTTACTCACCTTGATAAATCTCCGGCTGTGCTTCATACTCCACCGCAAAAGTGAGAAACTTCATTAGCCGCCGTTTGTCCACCAAACTGACGCTCTGATTCGAAAACACGTCCTCTTTTGAGCCAGGTACCTATACATCACAGCATAAGCCTCTCATACAATCAAAGATGAGCACACGAGCATACCAGCTCACATTTCCCCTGCCACGAAAGATACACGCTCTCCAAAGCCTTAAATTCCAAATACTTGCCCACCCCCGACGATATCAACAATTCCACCAAAGGCCCCCGGTTGTATAGGAGTTTGGGTGCTAGATCAATGTTAAATTGCCGGGATTGGGTTAGAAGGTGGGCAAGGATGGTGTACTTTGGGAGGAGAGGGTCGGATGGGTCGAGTGATGCGATAGTGACGGAGGGATCGGGATCAGCCAAGAGGGATTTGAAGACGGGGACGAGGTTGGCATTTTGCTTGAGAAAATCGAGGATAGTAGAGATTGAGTTGGGTGTTGGCGTTTGTATTGGGCCATTGGTTTCCACTGCTCCGTCGTCAGTGGGCAAGTCCTGAGCTACCTCAGACGTCGCTGGTTCCTCATTTGCAGTGTTTTCTCTCTTTTGAATACCCGCAAGTCTCTCGACCTCCTCTTTTGACCCACTTCGCAGCACGACCTCCACATCACCGTACGCCGCATTAAAAGGGTTCGTCTCATCTTTACAAGGCACACATCAGTATCTCACCGAAACGGTAAACTACTTACTGTCATACCTCGCTCTACACACAAAACCCTCAAAAAGGTCTTTAAATCAAAACATGCAAAATGGTCCCCGTAGAATATGTTGCGGTCGAGGTGCAAAACTGTTTTACCAGCTCGTGCTAGCGAACTTTGAACATGTCAGCAACTAGTGTTCGCAGACAGCGCGGGTGGTCGTGCTAGCGGGTGCCTACCTGGCAATAATGGACTCTGATAGACCAGTACCCAGAACAATGGCGTCAAAGTGCGTTTGTTCCAGCATCTGAAGGTTGGTTTCACCTTTGAAGTTTGGTCTAATGAAGGCACGATCTCGCAGATCTCTCAACGGGCGCGAGAGCCGCTCTCGTTGGTCATTCGCACCGCTAAGCCACATCATAGTGTGGAGGTGATTGAAAATGGCACTAGGACCCATTATTATCTGGATTAATCCGGTTAATCATATCGCATAATCAGAACCCCCCTCTATCGCTCAAAGCGGTGAGGCATGGATGCTAATGTTCTCCAAACTGCGGTGTGGCATGCTAATGTAACTTTTTTTTTAAACTGCGGTGAGGCACATGCGGAAGGTCTATAAAAGGGGGGCCTTCTGTCTCTTCCCTCTTTCCTCTTCACCCATCCTCGACTCTCGAAGCATCTGTGCAACTCTTCTCATCACGACTGTCGGTCGAATCATGAGAATACAGATGTGGTGGTGCCGAGGACCTTGACCGCCCGACAGCAACCGTGATCAGAACCAGTGGCAACCAATCAGATCCGATAACAAAACCTACTATTATGCTGCCACATTAGTTGAGCTTGGTTGGTATGTACCAATGGCATCATTTCATTCTGTCATTTCACCTCGCTGACATGCAGTTTTTTGTAGTCTCCAAGCCTTGTCACTGAACATCCTCCAGCTTGCGAGTCTCCCCAATGTTGCGAAGACTCTGGCTTCAATGCCATCAAGAGTTCTGGATCAAGGCCTAGTAGGGACCGCGTGTGGTGGTGGGCAATTATCCGGTTAGAACCAACCGTTACGTATTGCGTGTATAATTGCTTAGTAGTAGCTTAGTTAGCTTTTCCGAACCGGTTGTCGCCGGTTTATTCCCTGGTGTAGTAGCTAGTGCCATTTTCTGTCACCTCTACACTAACGTTCGGCAAACCAAATAAGAAAGACGACTACTGTCGTTTTGCGTTTTCCAAAATGCACCTCAACCAATGCGCCCATCATAAAATAATAGCAATATCCGTTATGACTTGAGATACAGTTTTATATGTCTGTATTTCAAATTACGAGATCCCATAATGTGTCCAGATAAAATATACAATAAACCCCGTATAAATATGCCCAGCTATGATGATTTTCCTCAGGCTATCGTACGATCGCTGTCGCCTCGCTCAACTGCCGTATAGGGTGGGTTGCCCGTCTGCCCTCCATCAGGTTGCGATACAATGACGATTCCTTCCTTTCCTTTCCACCGTGTCGGTGATGAAGAAGCTGGATGTCCGTCTGCCCAAACCTCCACGGCTCCATACCAACGCGCAGAGTCGTCGCCAAACAGCAACGGCTCAAACTTTTCCTCTTCCTCTTGATTACCCATGACGTGAAAGTGTGCCATTGCTAAAGAGAGAGAGAATACAACATCCCAGCCAGAATCGAGAAAGATTTGGTACGATGCTGCATGAAAGGTCGCTACTAGATGACGAGATGTAAATCATGAGTCACAACAGTTGATACATTGCGCGTTGTATTATGCATTCCTTACCTTGACCCAACAAAACAACCAACTGTAATAAACTCAGCCATGGATAATGTGTCCGCGCCCAAAGGCACCCACCAGCCGCTAACAGCATAAGACATGTCGCGAACCGGGTATACACGCTCGCACTGAAGATTCCACGTTCTACCTCGTACACGGGAACACCCCAGGGCTTCCGGAGCACAATCGAATCGGCCACTTTGGAATAGAGAGCATAATCCAAGATCTCATACGTGGCAAAACTGCAGGTAAGTGCTAAGGCCCCGATTCGACCCACTTGATCGCGGCTTAGCAAGCGTCGTTTCGGACCTCCGTGTAAAGTATGGCATAGTTCGTAGGCAACAAGGAAGAGGGAAGGTTGCGTAAGGCATCCAGCAAAATAGCTAAAGGCCGACAATCCTCGAAGAACGGCGTGATGGGTTGGAGATGCGTCAAGCCAAGGTCCAATGACTACCAAGAGATCATCAAAGCACTTGAGGCCAGCAAACACAGCAAAGACTATGGCACCCGGGGCACCATTACGTGATCGTCTATAGGCCAGCACCGCAAAATATATACAAAGTAACTATCCGGGGGATGAAAGTCAAATAGTGTTTTGCAGAGTATAAGCGCTTCTTTCACACTGACCTGGAGCAATGCATAGCCTGCGTGCAGGGCCTGGAGCCCCGGCACGGACATTTTACCCACCCTTTCTGCTACAATCCAATAGACAGCAGAAGGGAGAATCATGCAGATGTAAAGGAAAGGAAGAGTTTTTGCTCAAAGTTACGATAAGTGCAAGGAATTGTTTCAAGCTGGCTGCAAAGTAAAAACGTCCACAGAAGTGCTAATGCAGATGGGTTCTCGGCCCGTTACGGTTGCAGGGACGGGGAGTGGGGGGGATGAGGCCAGTTGAAAAAAGAATAATGGACAAGAAAGATGGTTGGCGATGCCCAATGGGAAGGAAACCTGGCGAGGAAGATGGAAGGAGGGGGAAAAGGTGACGAAAGGAGCCTCGAGCGATGACTCCGCTTGAATTCATGTGACAGACGCACGTGGATGATTACTTTATACATTACGTAAGGTTATCGCGCTTTTGGCTTTCGCGTGCGCAGTACGTCCAGAACGTGTAGGACGTTTTGGCAATTGTCGTCGACTGGTTTTCTCATTGTGTTTACAATCGTTGGATCGTGTTTCCACATGTTTCCGGCAGGGACAATGCTAACACGGGAAGATCGAGCCCGTTTGCTGCGTGAAACGGTTCTCAAATCCAGCACGATTGACACGCATCCCTCTGTTGACGACCCCTCTGACCTGCAAGTACCCCATACGCGTCGTGGCTTGGATGCAGCATTTTTGGAAGCTCACGGGTTAAAAGCGAGTAAGTATCCAGAACCTGTGCATCCGGAATATATGTCATTTGGGCTGCTTCCATATGTGGTGACCAAGTGATGAACTATTTTATTCTTCCTAGGCAGACACGGTAATGAGTCTCCAGAGGTCCCGCGCCAAGCAAGCCCAACGAGAAACATGGCGTCCAGTCCTCTTCCGGTAAGATTTCCAAATTATGCGCCTTGTAAATGCACCATGCATTGTCGGGGTACAGGGCATCACTCACAATAAACAAAAGATGTTGCATCAGTCGCAATCTCGAGATCGGCTATATGATCTGGAAACAAAAGTTCGGAGATTAGAGGTGTGATGATGAGATGGGTTACAGCCAATGTCTTAATCAAGACATGGAATTTCTCACAATGTTGATAGACAGAGAACCAAGCTCTGACTGATCGCATCGATCACCTCCAACGAGACAATCTACACCTCACTGAAGAAAATGCTACCCTCAAAAGCACACAGGAAGCGACTTTGAAGCAGAACTCAGAATTGGTAGATAAATTTGGGAAGGCAATGGGCGATTGGGCACAAATCACGCCGGAAGAGTGGTAGGTGCTCCTCTACCGCGGATGTGGAAGCGTAGGGTTCTCATTGCCAGATCGATGCCGACGAATAGGAATGAAGCAAACGAGCGTGTGAATATCCTCATAAGAGAGAATGACGTGCTAATGGACCAAAGAAAAGCCACGCAGATTGAAATCGAACGGCTACAGGACGAGCTCGCTAGACAGGGCAAACAACGTCTGTATCCTGAGCATAGATCATTGTTGTTCATCACGCTGGAAATCAACCCTTGTTACAGTTCGCACAACCACTGAAGACTTGACGCAATCACAAGAACACTTGCACGCTCTCCAACAAGAACTTTTACAAACAAATGACCGCAAATCCGGCGTCGAACGTGAATTGAAGGCATGCATGGAGGAGTTGACTGCCGCCAATGTTGAGAATGATCATTTGCATGGAGAACTTAAAAGATATGGCGTGGATATCAAAGGGTACCAAGGGAAGATTGGTGATCTGAAAAGGTTGGTTGTTAAAATACGTCCACATCTGTTGCCCTATTAATGGACCCGTTTTTGCTAGATCGCTTGAAGAAGTGACAAATCGATATCAAACTCATGTTTGTGAGTCTCAGGCTCTTTCAGCCAGGGAGCGCGAACTACTCGACAATGTGAAAACGACAGAACTCGAACGAGACGGTAGATACGGCATTGAAATAGTACCCTGACAAAGATATTGATCCAACGTCCTCTAGACTGGAAAACAAAATATGCGTCGTTAAGCAGTGATCACGAGTCCCTTCGATCCTCCTATGACGAATTGCTACGGATTTCGCGGGGTCTCGAAAAGCGAGTGGCACAATTGGAGGACCAGGAAGCTAATGCTCATATGGAGGTGCAAAAGTACATTGAGAAGGTAGCCCAGAGTTTATCGCCCAAGTAGCTCAGTTTACTGGTTGCCAATACTTAACATGACCAAAAGGCAGAAGACGCCAAACTCGAATTTGACAAAGCTTTAATCAGGGAGCAACAGTGCCAAGCGGAAATCCAGCGTTTGAATGAACGTCTTTTGGAACTACCGCAGAAGTATCGGGAGAGAGCGGATCAGGAAGTCGCTACGTATGTCCGTTCTCCTTTACTTTACAAAACGCAAATCAAGCAAGCTTATGTACGAATCCATAGAATGCGAGCACAATTCCTATCGGAAAAGCGACAACTGAATATTGAGATCACTGCCCTCGAAACTAAATGTGCGCAACTCCAGCATCAATCTGAACGCTCTATCCGAGATAAACGGTACGGAAATCCCCTTCTGGTCGTCCATCGTAGCGGAAGATTGACATTTGAATTTGTCTCTCCTTAGGTCCGCGGAGGCCGAACTGGAAAAACTCACACGACATCTACCCGAGGAGTCGGAACGCTTGGCACTTATTATTGAAGAGCTCAACAATAAATTGCGTGCGTCAGAGAGGGAAAGGAATCAAGCAACGCACAAGTTCGAGAGGTACGCATTTGTAACGTCTGATGAGAGAAGCTCAATATCTGATTTGGTAAATGTTTTTATGGCATACCAAGTTTGCATTCGAAGCTCCTGAGAGAGGAATCTCGCTTTGAAAAGGAAAAGCAGCTGATTGCGGAGCGAAGTGATGACGCGTTTCGGCGACTCCGAAGCATTGAGAGAGACTTGGAGGAAACCAAGGTATGGTCAGTATCTACTCTATGCTGTTTGAACACGGGTTAAAGTCAGACCTGGATAGGAAGACCGCGTCAAGCTCTTCACCAAACTCACCGACCTGGAACACGCGCATAAGAAACTTGCGGAAGCCAAACAAAAGGCGGCCATGCAACATGAAGCGGAGACAGCGGCTGTAACACAGAAATACGAAGAGCAGGTGAGAACTGGAATGGTGTGCTTCTATTACAGCTATCATAGGAAATTGATCAGTGTCCACCACATCTACTAGATCAAAGACCTTACATTAAAGCTAGAATCAGTAACTGAATCCCACACCCGCACCTGCCGAGACATTCAAACCCTCCTCTCCGACCAAAAGCGCATGACAGAAAAATGGCATACTGAAGCCCAAACACAAAAGCACCATCACGCTCAAACCCTACGCACCCTTCAGACCCAGCTTTCTGACTACCAAACACACGTCAATGACCTGGAGGCTCGGATACAGACATTAGACACTCGGCTCAAGGAAACGGTGCAAAAGCTATCGGATGAGCGATGCATCTCGGCGAGATTATCGGCGCGGGTGAGAGACGCTGAGGGACGATGCGAGGGGTTGAGGAAACAAGTTGTGGCATGGGGTAAAAGGGAGGAAGAGTGGGCAGAGGAGAGAAAGAGACTGAGTAGGTGTTCGGGCTGCTAATATTTATAGCTGATTGAAGGTGTTACATTGACCCATTTATTTCAATTACAGAACGAGATTTGGATCGAATTAAGCTAGAGCAAGATCGTAAAGAGCGAGAACGTCTACATCAATCCCGACGAGACGATACACGATATCCGGGAATGCTCAGGTACAAAAGCCGATTGCTGTGCACTGTCAAACCTATTCGGACTGCCTAACTTATTCGCGCAAATCAGAACACCTCCCCTAGACGACGAAAGCCAAATGATAGATGACACATCACGCGAGGTAAAAACCTTAACGATTTTCGCTCAACCGTACCCCTTCTTCACTGACTTGCATTTCAAACCCTCCAGGTCATGGAACTCAAAGCGGAGATTGACCGAGTCAAGCAACGCTCAAGGCGAAGTCCTGGCTTTGAAAGAATGTTATTAGATATGGAGAGTGATGGGGATGATGATGAGGAAGAGGAAGAAGAGTGATGGCTGTGTCTTTTGAAAATAGTTGTAGTGTTTTTTTTTCCGTGTTTCTAGACATCTTTGAAGAAATAGAGTATACCTGTGATCATATCGTGCATACTGTACAATTAACCCGAGGATATCACATTTGACGGTGAATGGTAACGTTAACATTGATAACATCAACGTATACAGTTAAGTCAAACCCAATTTTACGTTAAAGTAGAGCAGCGCTAGCGTACCGTGGGTCAGCCAGAAGGGTCCAGATCCTCAAGCAAAGCTCCAAGGATTCCTTGCGTATCCCAGAGAGAAACCGAAATCCCATCATCTGAACCTTTGGACTGGGACGAGAAGGCTTTATGAAATTGCTACAAGTCCTGTCTGTTCATGGCCAATACGGTCTGATTCCATGCCATAAAAACCGCGGTACTCTAACTGAATGAGCCAGGGATTGTGAACGTCCAAGTCACCCATGGTTCTCAATAAGGTTCCACTAAAGTTCCCATGGTTGAGAGGGTTTCGAAGCGAACATCGGAGTTTTGGATTTGTGCTGAAGTAAGCAATCAGGTTATCAAGAAATGCTGTCATAACACTTGCGTGAACACCAAGAGCGCTGACTGCTAGAAGCGCCTGTAAAGGAATGGAAGGGTTGCATTTCTGAATTTTCGATACCCTCATTTTGATGTCCCATGGATTCAAATGTGTACATAAACTCGGACCACGGTTACTGCTATGATGAAATAGAACAAAAACATTCCGATCCCCATTAAAAGAAATTGATCTAAACCTTTAAAGTTTCATTTACCCTTCAATTACCCTTTCGATCAATTACCTTGAGCACGACACGAATGCAACCATGGTATGGTCTTGACAACCGTGGTCCCAAAAGTAAAGATCGACACGAGCTGTGAATAAAGAAGGTTTGCTTGCAAATAATATATTGGTTCATTGACAATAGCCATGGAGAGAAAGACAAACTTCAAAGTATCAAGGCAAAGTGTTCCGATTAAGTAGCATATCTACAAGTCAAGAAAATCTACAAAACAATAGTAAATGACATGGGTGACTGACTAGTACGCCGTCCGATATGTCAAATCATGTCAAGTCATAAACGGCCCTTAAAATCCATTGGAATACCGAAGCAGACGAATATCCAGGTAACGTGCGTCGGGAAGACATTAAATAAGCATTACCTCTTTCGATCTATGACTTACAGGTAATCTAATGGTCGTGAGCATATAATCGAAATTGGTCAAAAAATAGCGTGCAACTTACATGTGGTATCTATATGGTGGTCGTCCTTCCGGCCTCTGGCACGATTTCAGCAAGATAAACCGCAGGCGCAGAGTGGTCATCAGAACCCACAAGGGTCTCTGTAGAGACTCCAAACTCGGTGAAGAGCCGTTCCAAATCGTCCATCCAAAGATCGTTCGTGATTGCAGGCAGGGCGGAACATGCCGGTGAACCAATAATCTTTACTCTTTCGATGGCAGCAAAGGGGGACCTTCTGGAGGACTGGATAAGCAATTCAAGTCGAAGGAGGTGCGGATCGATCTTCCCACCATGAAGATCCTGCAGTGGCGATACTCAGCAAACAATTTCCCGTGTACGTATGGATGTATGACATACCTGCTGTATGAACCACACAAAAGCCTTCCTCAAAAGATCTTGGATCGAATTGTTGACACTTGTCAGCAAGGATATTGCTTTTTCCGCCATCTGCCTACAGTCTTCCATATACAGCTCCGTGCGAGCCACCCAGATATCGAATGACGACTTCGCCTCGTACAATTCGGGAGTAGATGCGTACCGGATGCCTGCGGGAGATGAACAAAGATGAATTTAAACAATGACATTTTCAACGTTCGGATCTCCAGACGTACCTTTCACATTGTTCTCACTTATATTGATCAAATACTCAACCTGTGCCCACACTTCCTTGCCGAGATTAATTGCCTCTTGATGTTGGCCTTCCTGGAGCAGCTTCACTAACATCCCACGACGTTGTTCGAGCACGGCACCGAATTCGCTCAAACTCCCAAAAGCTGTCTGCACTCGATCCTCCCACAGCAAGCACTCTGCGTCAAAAGACTCAAAGTCCATCAGGCATATCGATGGGGGTTTAATGGTGTCAAGTTTGATATCCCATGTCTAGTTGTGTGAATTAGCTCATGAGCTACAAAGAGCACAACATCCAGGAGCCCACCTTGTACACCTTCCAACAATAGTGATGCCATCCTTCCATATGTCCATCACCGTTGGGATCAACCTGTAATGGCAGGCCCACTATAACTGGTCTTCCGCAACCGCCGCAAATGTCATTGGAACGATATTCCCCAGTGACTTCAGAATCGTCGGCAAAAACGCGGCGCAGATAGTCCTCTTTACAGAGTAGAATTGGTACATCGGTGGACGTTGACGGCATGTATTGCTGGCATGCTGGTCTGCCGCAATCCTGCATTATAATCACCCCGTTTAACAACATGTAGACGCGGTAAAGGGCGTGTCGACGAGCAAATCCTGTTTGACTTACCGCACATTTTAGACAGTCTCGGTGGTAAAACGTCCCACAGGCTGGAACAACGTGAGCCCGTGATGTTATTCGTTTGTTGCATGTTTTGCACACTTTGTTTGTGCCTCTTCGAAAAAGCCCGAGCATTCGCACCCACTATGTTGACCCAGAGTAAATGATATGTGATACCTACGACCCGACATAATTGTGTTCAGACTTTGCGAAATTTGACGTTTGACGTTGACGTGTATTCTACATACCTCTCCCTCCTTTCAGTGCCTAGGTGACAGCCAGCTAGGTGAACACGGGACGAGTGCGACTGGCAACAAGGCCGGACGAAAAACCCAGATGCCACTTTATAGTTGGGCGATGCCAGGCACGTTACTCGCACGGGGGAATCCAGCGAGCGGAAGGGATGGGTCGTCGTCAACCTGCATCCTTGGGGGGAAACCGGCGCAAGCGAGGGCAGGAGGGGTTAATTGCGCGGGAAAGTCCCAGCTGCTGAGTCACGCTGCCGTAATCAAAACGATCTGTTTGTTTATCCTGCATTTTGGAGACTTTTTGTTATCAACGTTGGATCACAGCAAGAAGAGTGCTTGAGTATTCTTCATAGTATCTTATTATGTCTTCATGTATCTTACTAAGCACGTACAAGTAAGCGTACGGACAAGCTTTTGTTTCTTCCCGCCGTTTGGCTACCCTCCAGATCCCATCTACTTTCATGTATGCGTGCCCGCTGGATACAAGCCTGCATCTGCATCTGCACCAACACCCACTCCTTCTCACATCTGATCAGATTGATCCAAAACTCTTGATGCATTGATGACATTTCCGATTGTTTATGCTCCATCGAGCCTATCAAGCCTTTACGGTATCCCACAGTTCCATGATGCCATAGCAACTTGGGTGTGGCACAGCGTAGCAGGCACGTAAGGCGATATCGCCCTGCAAGCGCTGGTCGACAAATCACCATTGTCATTCAGAATGGTAAGTGCTGCGACTCATCCACTAGCTAGCACATGAGTGCTCCGGCTAGATAAAATGTCATGAATTCAACTCTATGTATCGTTTCCATTGAAAACAGGGCAAAGTTCACGGTTCGCTCGCCCGTGCGGGAAAGGTCAAGGGCCAAACCCCCAAGGTGGAAAAGCAAGAAAAAAGAAAGAAAAAGACTGGTAATTAGGATTACGTGCCCTAGTAGGCGGTAACTTTATCTGAATGGCCACTTATTCCGTGTTAAACGGGTTTAAGGTAGGGCAAAGAAGAGGATTATTTACAACCGTCGTTTCGTGAACGTAGTGGCTACGTTTGGCAAACGCAAGATGAATCCAAACACGAAATAAGCTGGGTATTGTAGTCCTGAGCCGCCTGACAATGTACATAGTTTGAGTTGGAATCTGAGTAGTTTTGGTACATCATTAACCAAAAGAAGTGATGGCCTTGTCAAGCGAATGATCATGTATATCTGTTATATTTGATTGAAACTACTGTATATACTTGTCTTCCGATTCCTGCAGAATTTTAGCAGAGGTCTTGGCATCGAAAAACAGCTGCTGTGCCTCAATCACATCGTCCTTCTCAATAGTGTCTCGACCGTTGATGCGCGCCAAAATGCTTGACGGTGTCAGCAATTGAATGGCAAATCGTAGTGATGATTTCACACCGACATCAGCAAGGTATTGCACAGACTCTTCCGACGTGAGTAGGTTTTCTGTTTTCGCTCGAATGTTCAAGATGATGGCGATCTCTTCCAGAGTATATGGAAGGGTTCGTATGATTAGAAGACGGTCCAAAAGATCAACTGGAATGCCGTGAGGAGCATTGATATCGTCGGTGCCACTGTCATATTGGGAACGTTAGCGGCTTTGATTCAAGGTACTCCGATAGGTGACTACGTACCGAATTGTACACATTCCACGATTTGTTGCAAAGATGACGATTGGGGATAGAGAAGACTCCAGCGCACGGTTAAGGTATGTGAAGCATTCGATATCAAGCATGTGTACCTGTTCAGAAGCAAGCAGGTTAGAGTGTTTCGTAGACATAAAAAGGGGGAACCGACTTACTTCATCAATGAATAGCACTCCGGGTACAAGCTCCGCAACTCCTTGCTCTATATACTTGTTGACAACTTTGTTGATCTCCTTCCGCAACTTGTCTGTGATCTCAGTTTTCTTTGGCTTCATGAGCGATCCCATCATTGATACGATATCATGGCCTCCCTGAAAATATTTTGATGGCTTAGTCACTCATTGGTCGTTCATCTGGCTCGCAGAGAATTTACCTGTGGTCTGGCATTTGCAACGTCCAAGTCATGTAGTGTCACGTCCTGAATGATTTCCTTCTTCTTGTGAACTTCGCCTTTCGGTAATGGCACATATTCCTCCGCTTCCAAATCGAATTCTGTCGCATACGCATCAGAGCGTCCCACGCGCTGTATATATGTCAAAATAATGCCTCTTCAACCGTTGTAAAAATGACCGCACAACGTTACCTTGACTGCTCCACTGTTTGCTTCGATGTAGATTACATCGCCCACCGCCACCTTCTCTTTTTGTAAGCTCTCGAAAATAACAGGGTCCAGTTTCAACTGCTTAGTGCCTTTTACTGTCTTCAGTCCTATGATGACATGCGCGATGGTCTTTCCGTAACCACCCAAGGGATTCTCTGTTTCTTCCGGCGTTAATTCGGTAATTTCTCCCTCGTAAACTTCCTTCACTTCCTTGATTCGTAGACCTTAATCAACGGGACGAGTTAAAATCTCCCATTTCGAGATATAGCATCTTAATGTAATGAATACCTATTGCTCGTCGAAAGTTCTCCATCAACACCTCCGTCTTCTTGACCTCAGAAGAGTACACCTCGCTTCCGACCATGGGACAAAAGGGAACTTTGGAACCGAGCTCTTGAGAGAGAGCCAAAGCCATTGCTGTCTTTCCGGTACCGGGAGCACCCGCCAAAAGTACCGCCCGACCTGCCATCTTTTTTGACTTTATCAGATCTACCACAACGCCCGCCGCCTAATGCGTTTTGAACAAAAGTATTAGAGCCTGACATGTCCAGTTATCCGCTGCATTTAGACACACCTCCCGCGCGTTTTCTTGCCCCACAAACCCTGCTGCAACAGGCTCCGCGCTACCATCGTCACGAAGTCCTAGACCTTTGATATGCGAATGTGTGGCAATTCTGTATTGTAGAATTGGTAAGCCTTCGGCGTAGATCGAGCCAACGTAGAGTGAAATACAAACGATCCGAAATATTACCTCTGCTCCTTTGTAGTGCTTTGCACCTCTTGAATCTTCATGGTGACGTACAAGAGATCAGTGATCTGGCGACTTGACTAGTGGTATTTATATTCGAAAATGAAGGAAACAAGTGAGAAAGACGTTCGAAATGGCGAGTTCAACGTCCCGCTCGACGTTGGTAATGACCGACTCTGCACACCCGCTGGGTTTACCTGGCTGTTGAAAACTCTGGTATCAACAGCAGGGATAGTTGCACGCTGACGCGCTCCACCTCGACGCGCAGCAATCGTCCAGACGTTGGTTGCCATAGATATAAAAGTCATGTGATATAGATATCTGGATATCCAACCACATTCCAATACATTCCAAACAAGAAGCCATCCAATCACATCCGACGAGTTCCTTTTTTGGGCAACAGGCGAGTTTTTGGTTTTTCTTCCATCCAAGCGACCACAAGGAGCCCTTCTTCCTTTGAAAATCTCTGCCGTGGCAAGATAAACGATTCAATCTACTCACCTTTGCGGAGGTAAATCAAGTTTCTTGCGACGGCTTGTAACTACAGTGGAGAGCTAACCTATTGCTGTTTTTTTTTGTTTCTCCAGTTAGGGTACGAGTGCTTGGTTGGAGGAAGGGACGCATTTGCATATCGCTGACATTTGAATTTTGCATTCACAGAATCGCAGAAATGGGCAGACTGCACGAGTACCAGGTTATTGGCCGCCGGACTCCCACGGAGAAGGAGCCGGTCCCTAAGTTGTACCGCATGCGTCTCTTCGCTCCCAACGAAGTCGTTGCCAAGAGTCGCTTCTGGTACTTCTTGAAGCAGGTGAACAAGGTCAAGAAGGCGTCCGGTGAGATTGTGGCTGTCAACGAGGTAGGAAGGAGGAAACCAAAGCGCCGATATAACCGGAACGAGGTGTTGATGATTGCTTGTTTCTGAAGATCTTTGAGAAGAAGCCGTTGACTGTCAAGAACTTTGGTATCTGGATCCGTTACGACTCCCGCTCTGGTACTCACAACATGTACAAGGAGTACCGTGAACTCACTCGTACCGACGCCGTCGCCGCTTGCTGTGAGTTTCTGGACGCTGTAAAAGATTGAGACAATGGCTAATCCCGAGGATCATAGACCAGGACATGGCTGCCCGTCACCGTGCCCGTTTCTCCTCGATCCAGATCATCAAGGTTGCTGAGGTGAAGAGTGCTGACGTCCGCCGTCCTTACATCAGGCAGTTGTTGGTAAGTATCGACATGGTCCTTGGTAAACATATGAGGGTCAGAATCTAATCGTTTTGTTCTGGAACAACAGGAGCCCAAGCTCAAGTTCCCTCTGCCCCACCGGGTCACCCGCCCTGCCAGCAAGCGTTATCGCCCCGTCTTCTCTGGTGTCCGCCCCAGCACCTTCTAAGCGTCGAGTGTATAATATATCGAAATCACCATTATGTCTTTTTTTTGCTCGTTTTGTCTTGGACTTTATGCCCCTCTCCGCTGCCGGATATGGGAGATTGTTGTATGATGCCCGTATCCAGTATATCCTCTACCAAAGATCTTTATTGTCCATTTACAGGAACATGCGACAGCATCTGTAATCGATGCCTACGGGCGTGGTTCGCATGCTGAAGAAATGGTGTGCATAGCATGAAGTTCTTAAATTACATCAATGGTTGCAGTGGAACAGCAAAGACAACGTGCATAGGTCTCAAGACGACTGCAATTTTTCATCATTGTATATAAATTGCTATTAGGCACCATTTATTTTTTCCTTGATCGTTGCAGCTAGTGTCTGCTGCATCACAGACTGAATTTGCGCACATGCATCCACGCAAAGCTCCAACGCCTAGATTAATGATCGTTAGTTAGCGTAGACCTCATCTCCACGTGTCGACGCATGCATACTTTGATTGTTGTCGTCGTCCCGATTTCCCCACTTTGTATTACATGCGTCACCTCGTTCAACGATGGCATATATGACAGCACCAATGATCCGCTCTGATAGGTCTCCTCCTCATCAGTCGGGTCCAAGCAGATTGTTGAGTCAAAGTAGCCCTGATCACAAGCAGATAATTCAAGTATTATTTCCGCAGCTCGTCGTCTTGGTTGAGATGCAGCAAATGGAAAACATACCACAGCACAAGCAGCCACTGCATCCAGCATTTCGATTCCAGCATCTGCTAGAGCTAACGCAGCGCATGTGATAGCGGCCGCCAAACAGGCCGCAGAGCCATCGCTTTCGAGAACTTGAACGAAAACGTCTACTGTTGATTTGGGTAGTAGATCAAGTCTAACTGCTGGTGCTAACGCCTGTCTTAGAACTAGCGAATATTCCTTCTCTTGGCTATCCTAGATGATGTGTACAGAATGAGTTGACCGCGCATCAACAGAGAGGGAAAAGAGCTTGACTTACCTTTATGTACGCTCTTCGTCGTCCACCCGAAAACGGGGAGAATTTGAAATCGCAATTCAGAATACCACGAGATGATATCTTTGATCTCGCTGTTTGTCGTGGCCCGTATCTATATAGTGATGGAAGGGTCAGAACATCATATCTCACGCGGTCGGTCAGTCCACAGTTTGAGGCCACCATTCTGGAAGGGCGCAGAGTCCACTAGGAATACTCACACTCCACATGCCACCTTCAGCTTCCCTGCCTCCAGATACGCACTACCATTCGCTTGTCTGACCACCCCTGTTTTCATGACTGGATAACGACCAATCGAATTGAGCATACACGCACGTTCGAGACAGCAAGTGCCCGTCCACTTACACACGGGTCGTATTCGATCAATGTTTCGCCCATCTTTTCTCTTCTCAGGGTCAAAGGTGAATGCTGATAGCGATCCAGGTTCCAATAGAGGGACAACTGACTTTTCCGGGCCCTTCAACAGAAAAGCTTTGAGATGGATCCACCTACTATACTATTACGTGTTTAAAGAAAGGATTCTTACTGTTACTCTCTTGCGATCTGCCATGGCTTAACCTTTTGTTTATTTTAAAGTCAACGAGCATGAATCAGTAGAATCATGGATGACGCATCTTGTTGGCATGGTAACTGTGAGATGCCGATCATCTCACTGCTCCCAAATCGCAGCGTCTGCCCCCAAATTACTTTCCACCGGGTTTTCATATACGGTATGGCTCGTGAACGGTTTTCTCTAAAGGCAGTAGTTCGGCCCAATATCTGGGCTTTGAAGGTACGCTTGCTCTGACGTTGTTTATATCGGCACGGTCAACCATTTCTCACTTGCTTTGTCTGAGAACAGCCCTATCGATGCGCCAGAGACGATTACTCGACTGGCATTTTACTTGACGCCAACGAAAACTCCTTTGGACCATCTTTGCCCGCCGGTCATCAACCACCGCTTCCCGCTTTAAGCAATCCTAGTTACACAGACACTCACCTCGAGCGCTACCCTGACCCGTACCAGAAAGAAATCAAGCAGTCGCTCGCAAACTTCCGGGGGCTTCCGTCTACCGAACACTTCTTTCTGGGTGTAGGATCTGATGAGAGCTTGGATCTCATAATACGAGTTTTCTGTGTACCTGCTCGGGATAAGGTGCTGATATGCCCCCCCACTTACGGAATGTACTCGGTTTGCGCCCAGATAAATGATGTTGAGGTCGTCAAAGTGCCGTTGGATGTGGAAGGTGGAAAGTTTCAATTGAAGACAGATGAGGTGAGACTGGAGCACTTTGCAACTTGAAAAGATGTATCACTCATATATCAGTTGCAGATCAAGAAGGCGGTGGATGCCGACCCATCGATTAAAGTGATCTTTTTGTGTTCACCAGGCAACCCTACTGGAACGCTTCTTAACCCCGAGGACATCAAGGAAATCTTGGACTATGAAGGGTTCAGCGGGGTAGTTGTCGTGGATGAAGCCTATATCGATTTCTGTCCAAAAGGGTCTAGTGTTGCGCCCTGGGTTACCAAGTATCCAAACTTGATTGTGACACAAACGCTTTCCAAGGCTTTTGGGCTTGCAGGAATCAGGTTCGCATCTAATGGAATGACAATTGGAAGTACAGACTAGACTAACCTTGAAATCTCCCTCAATCTAGACTTGGCGTTGCTATCTCATCACCAGAGATTGCTCAAATCTTCAACAACACAAAGGCACCATATAACATTTCCACACCAAGTTCCATCCTGGCTCGCTCCGCATTGACCGACGAAGGCATTGCTCAAATGCACGAACACATCCGACGTATCCTTGCAGAACGGTCCCGCCTTATCGACGAGCTAAGCAAACTGAAAGGAGTTGGACAGATTATTGGGGGTAACCACGCCAACTTTGTCTTGGTGCCAATATTGGGATCCAATGATAAGCCCGACAACCAACGAGCATTCAGTATCTACAAGGCATTGGCAGAGTCAGAAGGGGTTGTAGTGAGATATCGTGGAACTGAATTGGGCTGTGAGGGGTGTGTTAGGATTACGATTGGGACGGAAAAAGAAAACGACGTGTTGCTAAACAGACTACGAAAGCTTTTGCAAGAGTAGAATCATCATTAGGTCGATCGATATTCTTAGACCACTGTATAAAATAGTATTGACATTATGCATTAACGTGTATCCTCTCCTTATGTTGACTTGCCAATTTGAGTGAAATAAATAGTTGTTGCATTGTATGTTAATGAGCCGCAAACTACCATCGATCCCTACGACCAGCCAGTTTAGAGGAACCTCCCCTTCCTCCTCCCCTACTCCCTCCTCCTCCTCTCCCCCCTCCTCCTCCTCTTCCCCCTCCTCCTCCTCTACTTCCCCCTCTTCCTCTACCCTGACCTCGGCCTCGGCCCCGCCCCCGCCCTCTACTGCTGGCCTTTTCAACTGCCTCAATATCCTCCTTTGATACATGCAGCGTTCCATTCCTAAATGTTCCAAATCCACCGTCAATCCCTCTGCTACGAGCCTTCACCCGCTCTTTTATCCGCTTTAGTTTGCTTTCCTTTTCCTTTTTGCCCGCTTCACCCATGATTTGGGCCTTCAGTGAAGAGTGATATGTCCCCATATTCTTGGCCTACAAGAAGAACACTTTAGACTTAAAAATACAGTAGTGCCTGAGAGCTTTCATTATCAACGCACCTCTTCTAGTCGTTTGGCAGCACGTTCTTTTTCTTTCAGTTCCATTCCCATGCGGATTGCTCTTGGTGCTTTGGGCTTGGCTGGTTTGGCACCTAGCTCTACCAATTTCTCCTGCATGTACTTTCGTCTTTCCGTCCCAGCAAGCTGGGAGGCATTGTACTCTTCAATGAGCTTGGTGGTCTTGAGTAACTCCATCAGATCCCGGTCATGTTGATTGTCCTGCTCTTCCTGGTCAGCTTCTTCTTTGGTAAGGTTTTTGGTTTTTGCCTCTCCGGAAAGTTTGCTAATGTTGGATGACATGAAGGCTTTCCAGTCACCTTTACTGCCCACGGGCGCACTTCGCTGTGCACTGGTGTCTTGGAATACAACCACTTGTGGGCCGGTCGTAGTGACCGTTGAAAGAAATTTATCGTGTTCGCTAGTATCCTCATCACTGTCGTTATCTTCCTCTAAATCGTCATCGTATTCACCGTCCCATTCGTCATCATCGGAGCGCATATCCTCCAGAACATAACCGCTACCCACTACCTCCTCTACGTCAACCTCAGATTCGGACTCACTTTCAGCATCCGAGCCCCTTCCTTGTTCAAAATCTTCATCTGACACTGATTCTCCATCCCCTTCTTCGCCCTGTTCTTCGATACCGTCCACTTTCTTCCGTTTCGCTAAATTGGCTTTTGAGGTAGGCCCGCTATTGTTTTCGTGGGCTTTTCGCTTCCTTCCGGAAGGTCCTGAAAATCCTAGCCGTGCCATCATGGCCGCTTCCAAACGAGCCGCTGCCCAGTCCGCCGCTTGCTTATCGCTTACACTCTCTCTGAATGCAAAAATGGGAATAAGAGACAAGCAGATCTTTGGATTGCGCTGTAAGCCAACCATACCCGTCCATCCTTTTTGAAACTTTCGACACCTTGGCATCTTTCGTTAGCGACTTTCTCTTTCTGGACGCTGATTCAGATGCCATTTCAACCACTAGCGAATGTGAGAGAACTTGAGAAAGTTCAGATCAACTTGAAGCCAAGAGTGGTTAGCATTCACTGGATCCGATGCAGTTGCCAAGCAACAAACCAATGTCCACAACTCACAGTCGACCTACATGTGTGTCTTGTTGATCAAGCACCAATCTTTTACAAGTAGTACTGAACGCTAAAGAGTAGCTTCAGACATGTCCAACCGTCCCGAAGAACGAAATCAAGACGCCACGGTATATGTTGGAAATGTAGATGATCGGGTCTCTGAAGGATTACTGTGGGAGTTGATGTTGCAAGCTGGGCCAGTTGGTGAGTATCCAAACTGCCGACCTGCGGTTAACTAGCTCTCTTACAACAAGCTAATAACTATTACTAGTCAATGTACATTTGCCAAAAGACCGTGTCACTCAGCAACATCAGGGGTATGGGTTTGTGGAGTACATGTCAGAGGAAGATGCGGAGTATGCGATCAAGGTAACAGAGCAGAGTATTTCTGTTATAGTTCACTAGCCTGACCCGCAATGCCACGTATTGCATAAGATTATGAACATGATCAAACTCTTTGGTAAACCGATACGAGTAAACAAAGCTACATCCGATAAAAAGAATCTCGAAGTCGGTGCGTCGCTCTTTATCGGAAACCTGGATCCAGATGTGGACGAAAAACTGCTATACGATACCTTCTCTGCGTTCGGCGTAATTGTACAAACACCCAAGGTCGCTCGGGATCCGGATACAGGGAACTCGAAGGGATACGGATTTGTGGCATTCGATAATTTTGAGTCTTCAGATGCGGCGATTGAGGCAATGAATGGGCAGTACTTGATGAATAAGGCGATTACGGTGTCATATGCATTCAAGAAGGACGGAAAAGGAGAGCGGCATGGAAGCGCCGCGGAGCGATTGCTGGCCGCGCAAGCGCGGAGAAATCAACCTGCACATCTGCCGAACCGGTTTTTTGCCGATATTCCTGGACGACCAGGAATGCCTGTTGTGCCAGTGGCAATGCCTGTTCCTCCTGCACCGATGCCAGTGGCACCACCCGTACCCCAGGCAGCAGCCCCACCGCCTTTCATGGGCCGTCCACCAGTGCCACCATTTGGAGGATTTCCTCCTGGACCACCGCCAGGCGGATTTCAGCCCCCGCCGCCACGCCCTATGCCACCTGGACCTCCCCCTATGCGTGCGTATTATTTGATGTCACTATTGAAATAGGTTTCCGATACTTATTGGTCTTGCATCCTTGATTCAGAACGCCCACCAGGTCCTCCACCTGCATTCCCTGGCCGACCACCCATGCCACCCCCACCCTTCCCAGGCCAAGGCTTCCCGCCACAACAAGGATTTCCACAAGGTCATTTTCCTCCTCCACCACCACAGTGGGGTGCTGGTCGATAATGGAAAGTGCGAGATCTGCTCTTCA